GTGCCCAAGGCCCTGGTTCTTGTTTACGGGGACCAGAAGAAGGAGGAGTTTTGTTCCTAAGGGGCACAGTGTGGGTAGTTCTCTACTTTGATTGACAGACTTGTATCAACTAAACTTTTGCTCACTGCACACATCCTTTCCCACGATGCTCCTGATTATTACCGTATGCATGCCCAGTTAGGCATAAGATATGAAACAGGGTATTTTCCCTACCAGTTCACTGGGATAACATAGTCTGCCTCTTTGGACATGTATTCAAAACCAATCTAGGTCGCACTGGCCTGTCTCTCTTGCCTTCAGTGTGTGCCCCAAGACATGTTTGAATAGAAACGGAGCATTGCTCAAAGTTTGCTAAGCGGAGAAACCGTGTGCATTGCTCAAAGCAGGTATGTGTTCAACCTGAAGGCAAGTGGGAACCCTAGGTTGTCAAAAGGTTGCTAGGTACATTGTTCAAGAAGGAGTGTGTGCACAGACCAAGGCAAGTCTGAGGTTTCTATACTGTTCTCTGTGCTTGCCTGTATCAACACTACTCAACTGGTTGGAATATAAACTGATAAAACATCACTTTAAAAAAAATCACGCCCGGCGGTGGTGGTGGCGCACGCCTTTAATCCCAGCACTCGGGAGGCAGAGGCAGGCGGATCTCTGTGAGTTCGAGGCCAGCCTGGGCTACCAAGTGAGTTCCAGGAAAGGCGCAAAGCTACACAGAGAAACCCTGTCTTGAAAAACCAAAAAAAAAAAAAAAAAAATCACTAAAACTTACCGAGATGTAACAGAAACTTTATAGTTTTTTTTTAATTTATTTATTATGTATATAGTGTTCTGCCTGCATATATGCCTGTAGGCCAGAAGAGGGCACCAGATATCATTATAGATGGCTGTGAGCCACCATGTGGTTGCTGGGAATTGAATTCAGGACCTCTGGTAGACCAGTCAATACTCTTAATCTCTGAGCCATCTCTCCAGCCCATAACAGAAACTTTAAAAGAGCCAGATATGATGGATTATGACTGGAATCCTATCAGTTCAGAAGTGGAGGCTGCGGGGTCAGAAGTTTAAGGTCAGCCTCAGGTACACAGGGAATTCAAGAGCAACCTGGGCTACACGAGACCCTGTCTCAAGTAAACAAACAAATAAAGCCAAACAACATCAACAAAATCCTTGAAAGAAGTATAATAAACAATTCTAATTGTAGAATTTTATCACAGGGAAATAAACAACAGGTAGATACAGATGTGTGTACAAGTGTATTTGCTCTATTACTGTTTATAATGATGAGCACTTTCAGGACATAAATATCCATCATTTGGAGACACAGTAATGATGCTACATCTAGCAACATATCATGCAGCCATGGACAATGATGTCTATTTAGTAATATTGAATGGCATTTCCTACAAGCTCTATGTCAACAGTATGCCCTTTTCTCTTTTTTTGCTTATTCGGATTTTCTTGAGACAGGATCTCACACAGCCCAGGCAGACCTCAAACTCACTACATAGTCAAGGTGACCTTGAACTCCTGACCTCCTTGCCTCCACTTCCAAAATGTTGGAATTATACCACATCAGGCTCTCCTTTGGATCTTTCAAAAACGAATTATACATGATTGTTTACGTGTAAATATAAAATATATTTGCATTATTTTATGTCCAATTTTTTCTAGGCATTCTAAATCTAGCTGAATATTTTTCTCTGTTGCATGTCTGTAAAAAATACTGAGTTTTAAGCCTTAGATACATCAAAGGAAAAAAAAGCTAAAAAAACAGAAATACTACTTGATTACTCATACATGCTTGGATAAAAAGCAATAAACTGTCTTCCTGGCCATTGCCTGAACCTCTGACGGAGTGCTGCATGTGCTGGCACTGAGTGAATACCGTGTTCCTGGGTAGGCTCCTGCCTCTGCTCCAAGTTCACAGCATTTGGAAAGGCCACAGTTCATTCCTCGCCTCCCTCACTCTGTTGACGGCCATCTCTCTTTCCTCTGGGACCAAAACAAAAATCATTATTTCAATAATATTTTTTGTGTAGACATGAGGGTTATATGCAGATCTCACGTAAAGTCTCTCAGAATCCTTTGTTAGATGCTCCAAGTCAAGATTATTTCCTTAAATCTATACTATACCTGGAAGGGGGCATGAGCATCTTGCTTTTCTTTTAGTTAATTTCCTCCAGAAAAAGTCAGCACGTTGGCAGGAGAGCTGTCAGATTTTAAGTTCACTATTCTTCTTGGAGTCATCCATGCATGATGCTTATAGAAGCTAAATTATTTTCAAAGACAGAATACTTTTTCTACCGTGGTTGAACTCAAAGTTCAGTGAAGAATATGACAGTTTGCTCTAAGAACCATCGTGTTACAGGTTGGATAACCTGCAATAGATTTATAACAGTTGAAAGATGGGGAATCTGTCAGTCACTTTCAGTAATAGTAGTGATCTCAGGAACTACAAAGGTCACTTGGAAAAGTCATATATCTATGTCATCAGTGCATCTATAAACATTTCCCCAAATGTATTAGTCTCTGTTGAGTTTAGTTATTCCTGCCTATAAGTTAATTAAAAGTCATGTAGTCTTTCAAAGACATTGCTTATAGTCAAAATCCAAAGCCAATCTTGGTTTTCTAGTGAAACTTTTGCATACTTTTCAGAAAAATTATGAAGTTGAGAGAAACACAGCATATACTTGGGTGTCACTGCATTATTGCACCCATACTTGCCTTGACTGCTCTTGGTTTTTCAGAAGCAGGCTGGAAATGGGAAAGGCTGACAGGCATCTATAGTTCACCCTAATATTGTCCACTAAGAAAACTGAGAGCTGTCTTTCCCAACAGAAGATGTGACATCAACCCTCATAATCAGTTGGGATTTTAATCAGGGGTGGGGAAGGTCAGTCCTGAGGGAAATCAAGTGAGCACCCAGAGGTTATAGGTGGAGGAGAGAGAGTGGGACTGGATCATACATAGCAAGGCCACGTGCCTCCCTCATGATTTCCTGGCAGCTGCTAGCTGGGTATTCTGGTAAGCCACCACATTGCTCAGGTACAGCCTCTGTCATCACAAAGGCCACCAGGGTCAGTGCTGAGAGTCTTCTAAGGTGGCCTTGGGTTCGTACCTCAGCACGATTGCTCTGTTTACTTCCTTGGAGTGGCCTCTCTGAGCATGAGCAGTCTGCCCCTGACTCATTCCCAGCCTGTCCTGTCCGCCACTCTAACCTTGGTAAAGGACCTTGAGCTATTCTAAGATTTCCATTCCAGTCACAGCCCTGGGACGGCTGCCAGCCAGCCTGGTGCTTTCTCACAGCTGAAGGCAGGACACACACAAGGGATGTTCACAGTACCCAGAAGAAAGTATTTAAAAAGAGAAGCTCACCCTCATCTGAGAACCACCCGGGACAGTGGGCGGGGCCAGCACAGCTGTGAAGGACGGTGTACACATTCATGTCTGACAGCCACGAAGGGAAGGGTGAAATGGTTTGGAGCGGATAAAGAAGCTGTAATGAAATGCGTCCTCGAGCATCTGCTCATGTCATTCACCCTTTCATTTGCCTTCCCACGTCTGCCCTTCCACACAACGCTCAGCCTCCAACACACTCACCAACACTGATCTCTACCTGAGTCTCCCACACACCTGTCAGTGGGTCATTTACACGCCTTTGAACACCGTTGCTGTGTTTAAAACAGCTACCTAGGGGATGTCTCACAAGGGTTAAGGCCTTCGCTTCCTTTTAATTTTTAGAACATGCTTTTCTATAGATGAACAGGTTTCTTTTTGGCTAACCTATAAAACTATATTGTTACATGCTATAGCCTCTGAGTGGTTGATCCTGATTCTAGCATAATTCATATATCTACGTATCAATTATATGACTGTATTAACAAGAGGCATGTAACTCTTGGTGTGTCTTTGTTTAGGTACCTGGATTGTACTTATATATGAATGTGGATCTGTGTGTGTGTGTGTGTGTGTGTGTGTGTGTGTGTGTGTGTGTGTGTGTGTGTGTGATGGCTCAGCCAATAGCTTCTTATAAAATATGACCATCTGCCTCCAAAGTTTCCCCCTTTATCAGTGTTTTTGTCTTTGATTTTGCTTTATTGTTATTGTCGTTGTTGTTGTTTTGGAGAGGGCCATACTCGATCACCCAGGCTGTTGTGACCCTTCTGCCTCAGCCTCCTGAGTGATAGAATTTAATATGCCTAGCTTTTGGTTTCCTTTTTATTTTTTTTTTTTTTTTTTTTTTTTTTTTTTTTTTTTTTTTTTTAAAGATTTATTTATTTATTATGTATACAGTTTTCCATCTGCCCATATCCCTGCAGGCCAGAAGAGGGCACCAGATCTCATTACAGATGGTTGTGAGCCACCATGTGGTTGCTGGGAATTGAACTCAGGACCTTTGGAAGAGCAAGCAGTGCTCTTAACCTCTGAGCCATCTCTCCAGCCCCTTGGTTTCCTTTTTATTGTATAAAAGCACATGTAACTTAAAACTTTCCATTTATAACCATTTTTAAGTTTACCATTCAGAGACATCAATTACATTCACATTGTTGGGCAGACAACAGTTGTGATCTGGTCCCCAAGTTTATTATCTAATAGAAACTCTGAAGCCATAAAGCAGTAACCCCCCCCCCCCCAGTTGTTCTCCTCCAGTCCCTGGCTGTGGAGAGCAGGTGAAGTCCTGAGGGAATGTATTTTGTTGACATAATGTGGCCATGTCAAGGACACCAGTACCTCAGACTCAAGGGAACGACAGTCTTCACCTAGTCTGAGTGTGGATACTGATAAACAGTCAACCTTTTTGCTAAAAACAGTACATGCAAAAAGTACTGACCTCTTGTCCTAGATGACTGCTTGATCACACACCCCTGGGACTGCTCCCCCTGCTGATACTGGCTAATCTGTCTCTTCATTAATGCTGTATATAACAGACTCATTAAGTATCTGGCTGCTGGTGAGTCTCCATCCACGCGCATCTGGCTGCTGGTGAGTCTTCATCCAAGCGCCCAGCTCAGGGGATCCCAGCTTCATTTTGCTTGGGTCTGACTTTCTTAGTACCCCCTTGCTCCCATGTGGGTTTCCAGGGATTAGCTTCATGGGCCATGGTCCCTGGTAACCTGTAACTTACTGTATGTCCCTCTGGATTGACCTACTCTAGATATTTCATGTAAGTGAAGTCATGCAATATTTGTCTTTTTGTGTCTAGCTTACCTCACTTAAGGTTCACTCATGGTGTAGCATATATCAGAACTTCCCCTTATGACTAAATAAGAGTCTATTGCATGTATGTGGATGGTCCTCCGCTTACAGTGGAGTAAGTTCCCGATAAAACCATGATGTACTGAAAATACTGTAAGTCAAGCCAGACATAGTAACACAAGTATAATTCTAGCACTTATCAGGGCAGGAGGGTTAAGAAAGAGTCCAAGGCCAGCTTCTATTACATAGCATGTTTGAAATGAGCCTGGGTAACATAAGATCCCCTCCTTCCATCTTAAGAGGAAAATAGTATAAGTCAAGACAGTATTTAATACACCTGTCTTAGGGTTCCTATCGCTGTAATGAAACACCATGACCAAAGCAACTTGGGGAGGAGGAAAGGGTTTATTTTTCTTACACTTCCACATCACTGTTCACCAATGAAGGAGCTCAAACAGGGCTGGAACCAGGAGGCAGGAGCTGATACAGAGACCATAGAGGGGAGCTGCTTACTGGCTGGCTCTCCATGGCTTGCTTAGCCTGCTTTCTTATAGAACCCAGGACCACATGCCATCCACAGTAGTCTGGGCCCTCCCCCATCAATCATTAATTAAGAAATTAATGTAAGGCTTGTGTACAGCCAGATCTTATGGAGGCATTTTATTAATGGAGATTCCTTCCTCTTGGATGACTTTAGCTTGTATCGAGTTGACATAAAATAACAGTACAATTGACCCCTTGTCAACCTGACATACAAACATCACCCTAAGCCACAACCTTTCCTTTCTTGCTCATCCCCAAGACAGCACATTAATATCAACACCACAATATAAAGCATTTTCAAACTTATGAAGTCTCACAGTCTTTACAAATTCAAACACTTTAAAATTCAATCTGTTTTTGAAACCTAAAATCTCTAAAAAAAAAAAAAAAATCAGTCTCTCAACTGTGAGATCTTGTAAAATAAAAAATAAGTTGAATACTTTCTCACTTCAGGAGGGAAGAACCAGGGCACAATCACAGGCCGAACAAAGCAAAACTAAGCTCCTCCAACGGACGTGGCCACTTCTCCAGCTCTACCCTCTGTAGCACACACAGCTTGTCTTTTAGGCTCCCGATAGCTTCAGTCTACTGTGCTGATGTTCTTGGTGGCCATGCCATGGCGCTGGCATTTACAAAATGCTGGGTCTTCTGCTGCAACTGGGCTGCCCTTTCACCAGTAGCCTCTCCAGGGCTCTCTCCATGGACTCCAGCCCTGCCACACAGGGCCAAGCCTCAGCTGCTCTCCATGACTCCTTCATGTCTTCAAAACCAGTACCACCTGGGAGACTCTTACACTACCAGGTTTGACTGTCAACAGGAGGTACAACCTTGGCCACTTCTGGGAAACAGCTTCTGGGTGCTGACCCTGAGGAAAAGCTTCCAAGAAGACTTGGCCTCAATGATGCTGGCCTCTTCTTAATCTCAGCAGATTCTTCAGCCCCAGCTGACCAGCGTCCATCATCCCTGCAGAGCAAAGGTACCACTTTAGTGGTTCTGGCAGCTTGTTAACCACAGCTGATTCTTCAACCTCAGCTAACCAGATTCTTAACTCAAATGACCTGATAAAATCTTTGCTTCCCTCTGAATTTCACAGTCCAAGCCTTCATTCTCAGCTCCCAAGCTCCTACAGAACAATTCCCTGAGCTCTCAACATCTAGCGGCTTTTCTGGCCCAAAGTTCCAAAGTCCTTCCACAATCCTCCCCAGCACATGGTCAGGTCTGTCACAGCAACACCCCACAATTCTGGCACCAATTTGTCCTAGTTGGGGTTTCTATTTCTGTGATGAAACGCCATGACCAAAACAACTTGGGGTCGGGTGTGTATTTGGATTCTATTTTCCTATCACTGTTCATCACTGAACACCTAGCCTAGTGAACATGGTAGCTTCGCCCGTCCTGTCCCGAATGTGTCCAGAAGATCCACGTTCACCTGTAGGTAGACACTGAGAGAACCACATTGCATGTCTCTAAACTGGGAGAGATCAAAATCCATAATGAGTTTTCTACTGTATGTCATTCCTGGGCTAGTGTAAAGTCAAAAATCACGTCATTTTCAGTTGGGAACTATATGATTGCCAAATTTTTCATTTCTTCATATGTTCAGACACGGGTCATTTCTATCAAGATGTTATAAATGGTGCCGTTAACACCAGTACCCAAGTATCTAAGTCCTTAACTATTTTGCCTGAGAATAGAATACAAAAGTAGTTTGTATTTAAGAGCAAAAATAGTGTTTATGTTTCAGTAAATGATAGGATGTCAATGGTCACACAGCCAAGTTAATGCTGCTCTAGCCACAAGTGTCTGTGAGAGTCAAAAGCAGAAGTCTCTAAACTCGTACACGTGACTTTGGCATGTGGTGATGTGGGCAAGATGGCTGAGTATCTTTTTTTGGAAATTTCCAAACTAGGGAATTCCTTAATGTGCTGCTTCTGAAGAATGTTTATTCTACTAGATTCTCTCCCAAGGCAAGGGCCAGCGACGTTGGGTCAGGGTCTACTCTGGCTTGCCGCTGGCCCCTTTCCATGTAGCTGCTCAGTCATACTCTTACCCCTTGAGTTAAGGTCCTCCCAGGACCTCGGAAGCTAGCCTGTAATTATTGGTGTGGGTGTCACCTCCAAGTCAGTGGTGTGTCTCGGGGACTCTTAGTTCCTGCCACTGGGAAGTAGAGGGAAACTGCTGTTTGCCTGGTTTATTCCCTTCCCGTTTCTCACTGAGAGCTCTCCCGTTTGGGGGACAGTGACACACTTGGGAAAAGACTATAGTCCCACCGTCCTCCACAGATAGTTTCTGAACCTTGCTTGAGTCAGGAAAACCAATGTTCTGGATTGGGGGTTCCAGCAAAGAGCGTCAACAAGGAGCTGACGGTTGAAAATACCTCCCATCCTTCATGGTTTGACCTTCTCCTGACTGGGTCCCCGGTGAAACGCCGGAGCAGAGCAGCTGTGCAAGGAGACCACAACAGAGGAAAGTTAAGATGCCACAGAGGATTCAGGCCCAACATCTCCGGGATGCTGCTCACCACCTCCCTCTGAGGGGTGCCCCCCTCCAGCAGCACAACTCAATGTACAACCGATGCAGATTTAAAGAGTTCCTTCAGGTCATTCATGTCAAAGACTCTTGCATATTCTGTGGGCAAATCAGATTCTGTGTCAACATTACGGAGAAATTCTGGACAGTGGTATAAATCTGAATTCCCCAGCATATACCCATTCAAACAAGGAAGAACAAGACAATCGAATGAAACTCTGTGAAGCCCTCAGAGTCCCTGTAACCAGAAGACAGAGTTCCCGAAAGTCAAACTCACTGTTAAGTAGGAAAATGTACAGGAGGCCCCAGCAAGTTGCCTCCCACACTGCCTCTGGGAGCTCCTGGGGGGCTGTAGGAAGACAGATGTAAGACCACACCAGGGAGAGGAAGCTGGTAATGCTGAGGCGTTCTTGCCGCTGGTCCTCTGTGAGGAGCCATCATGGAAGGGCAAGACATCCCATGAAATGGATGGAGAGGAAATCAGACGACCTCTGGGAATATCGCAGTGACTGAGGAAACGTTCCCTCAAAATCAGAGGAAAAACCAACAATAAAATATGTTTCAAAATAAAAGAAATCGTTCTTTGCTACACTGACAAAAGAGGGCGCTCTTGAACCAGGAATCCTGAAAGTACCCCGACCTCCAACCTGCTCAGAGAAGTGGAGATCAGTTCTGCTCTGAACAAGAGCCTGAAGATAAGAGCAGAAGGGATCCAAACCATTCAACTAGGCAGATCCTCTACCCTGAGTAATAGCAGCTGAAAGAGATTGACAGCAGCCCAAAGTGAGTCACTCTTCCCATCGTCCCGTCGTCGTTGTGGTTAGGAACGTGCAGAACATCCCCAGTCACAAATTCAGAAACTACCTGTTAAAAGAGCCACAGATGGAGGAGAAATGAAATGAGGATTGACTGAACTCAGAAGTTAAGTAGAAAGGGGGGTGGGGAGGAAAAGCCCATTATACTGCCTGATATGATTTTAGAGAAAATGTGTTGAGGGTTTTGTTTTTACACAGAGAGATGGGGGAGGGGAGGGGGAGACAGATCCTCCTTCAAGATCCGTTCAAGTGATTCCTTCACAGTGCAGCTTTTGGAGTCTCTCTCATTTGTGTATGGCCTTTAGGCCGTTCCGAAAGCTGTGCCGAGCATTGGTGCTGTTCGCACCGTTATTGGCAGTCCCTGGCTGAGAAGAGCAGGCAGGGAAGAGGGAACCACAAGAAAAGTGTCTAGAACAGAGAAACCTATGGGACCCCTGAGCAAATGGCTGCGTGCTGTGGAGAGGGAGGGGGGGTTACTGGAGAGCTCAGGGTCCTCTGAAACCAAGTGACAGTGAGGAGGACCAGACAGAGCACTCCCTAAATCCTCCTGCTTCCTCTCCCTCTTCCTTTTTGGAAGCTAGAATGTCTTCTGAAAATCCACCTTCTAGAATATTCAAGATCCCAGCATTTCCCTTATGAGAATATTCACTTTTGTCTCATTTTTTTCCCCTCTCTCCTCACCTGTTCTCTCAAGTGGAAACTGTCACCCTGGGTCTAAAATTTGAACAAAGCAAGTCACCTGCCCTCGATTCTGTCACCTCCGATTTTCCTCTTATCATTTGATTTCTGAGGGAGCTTTCCACCAGCTGTCAGCTGCTTCTCTGGACTCGCTCCTGGAAACCTTGCAGTCTGTTTCACACATTCCCTCCTGAAGCTGTGTGCTCAGGAGCTGCTGGCTACCATTAGAACAGGCGCTTCCAATCTGCTTCCGCCAGAAAGTACCAACTCCCCACAGAAAGCAGGATGGAGCCTGGCATCTCTGCCTTCGGCCTGCGGTGTCTCCTGTGCACGTAGGCATTTGAGACTCACTCAGGGAGTGGCTGAAAGCCAGTCGTCCTTAACCTGTCTCGGGTCCCTTTGAGGCTAAGGCCCAAAGGTAAAGGGAACCGAGACGTCTTAATGCCACCCTTTTACAATGCCCAGTCCCCTTCCCAAAAGGCACCTAGATGTCTTCTGTTGGATTCCAGGAACAGCAGAGCCTTTGCAGGACAGACCACCTCTTGAGACGGTCAGTTTTCCACCAGGGAGAGAGTGTACCCTGTTGTCTAAGTCCTAAGAACCAGATTGTTCCTTCCAGTTATAAGGACTTACCAGATCACCTCGCTGACCCGGAGCTGAGACAATGATCAGCCAGACCTCACCTGGACCAGGACTCTGCAGTGATGCACACTCTTACCTTTGCCCCAGTTCTTGCTCTGTTAGACGGACAGCTCATGAACCACCCTGAAGATGAGCTGGACCCCTCGATCTGCCCCTCTTCCGCGTGGTTGTGTTGATTACATTTCCTTTCTCTGCTTTCCACCGTTACTCCTTTAATTGTCACATTGGGGGGCGCGTGACGGGCTAATTTTACGGAGGCCGCCAGAGGTGTGGCTTGTGACCTAAAAACTCCAGTTACGTGATCTCTCGGAAACTCCTCTCCCTTGTCTCGCTAGATCCACATCCTTTTTCTGCCGTCAGTTGCACAGATATGCATGTCAGAGTTCTGGCTTCGTTCCCTTCCTCTGGAAGGAAGGTGTCCCCAAAGCTCTCTGTTGCCTTTTCTCCCTGTGCTCATAGCTGCCAGCTGAACATACGGCCATGTAACACGTAGAGACAGGGATACTTCCTAATATGACATCAGTGGGTTTATTGTGTCATTAAGCAAACACCCTGGCATACACTTAAACAACCCTAGATGGCGTGGGCCAGTCAGGCCACATGGCCTCCACGTAATTGAGAGACTTTGTAAACAGGGCACCATAAGGCTGATGGTGTAAGACGACACAGTGTTTTACATTAGCTGCCTTTTATAGTAGGAGTTATATGCTAAGAGAATACTAAAATAAATAAGTGTGGTACAGTAAAACCTAAGCCGGTAACAGCCATTGTCATCACCACCGAGTGTTGCGTGTGCCCCGCGGCTGGATGGCTCATGGCACAGTGGGTGTGTTGACACTAGCATCCTCACAAATGTAATGAATTGCACCAACCTTTCAGCAGCTATAGATGTCACCAACAAAAGGAACTTTTCAGCTTCAATTCTAATCTATGGGAGCACTATCACGTAAATAGTCCGCCATTAGTCATATACCGTTGGTATATGACAGTATACATGCTCCAGGCCCACCTCATGTGCCCCATTCATACGACCCATTCATGCCATCCCTGGATCCAGGGGTCGCCTGGAACTTACTGTGTCTGGAACTGAACCCTGCATCTTCTTTTCTAGTCTACCTCTACCTACTCAGCATCAGACGGCCTAGGTACCGTCCTTTCCTTTGTCTCCTGTTCCAGCTCACTCCTAAGTTCAACCCCAAACATGTCCTGGATGCCGGTATGTGCAGGTCATGGAACCAAACATGCCCGACCATGTGCAGGTACTGGCCGTGGGACTCTGCTCAGCACAGCTGAACTAACAGACTGGGAGGGAAGTGTGAACCTTCAGTGAACATGGTTTTCCTCCATCATCACTGCCATCCTTCTGTCCCAACCGTCACCTGCCTATCAAGCCAGTTCCTCCTTTTCTATCCCTTGAGAGATTTCTCAGAGTTGGCATGGTGCTGCACACCCTTAATCCCAGCATTCAGGAGTCAGAGGTAGGTAGAGCCCTGAGGGTTCCAGGCCAGCCTGGTTTATATTGTGAGTTCCAGGGCCAGCCAGGGCTACACAGTGACACCTTGGGACAGTGAAAGGGGTGGGGGTCTGGATCCCGAATAACTGAATCAAATGGAGCCCTCCCACCTCTGTTTCCCTGCATGCCTCTCTACCTTCCCCTTATCTGGAATCCCCTCCTCTTATCTCCCCAGGCTGCTTCCTGTTTGTCCCCTGAGGTCCACCTCAAGTCCCAGCTCTCTCTGACGTTCTGCTGCCTTCTTGTGTGTTCTGAACTCACTGCTTTGCTAGGCATCCCTCTCACCCACACTAGGAGCAGCATAAGCTGCGATTAGACCCTAGAGCCCAGAGTTATGTGTTAGAAAAATGATCAGTTGTCAACTCCAGGGGAGAGATTCCTTCAATAGCCTGTGAGCACCACCTTTTAACCTGGACATCTGATAAACTTCTAGGAAATGGAAGTGTGTGTGTGTGTGTGTGTGTGTGTGTGTGTGTGTGTGTGTGTGTGTGTTCATAAAGTGCATGTGTGTGTGAGAACATGCTCATAAAGTGCATGTGTGTGTGTGAACATGCTCATGAAGTGTACATGAGTGCAGTGCCCTTACAGGCCAGATGAAGACCTTGGGTCCCCTGGAGCTGGAGTTACAGGTGGCTTTGAGCTGCCCAGTCTGGGTGCTGGGAGCTGAGGGCAGCCCTGGGGGACAGCAGCAGGGGCTGGTAACTAGGAGCCATCTCTCCAGCCCCACCTTTCTTTTTGTGTGACAGGGTCTCTCACTGGCCTGGAATTCCCCAAGCAGGCCAGTCTTGCTGTGTGGTAAGCCCCAAGGATCCACCTGCCTCCCCTCCCTAGCACTGGGATTACAAGTACATCCTACCTTGGCTCCATATGGGATTACTGATTTCTGTTTGATGCTGAAAGAGCAAATAATATATGGCTCTGATAATTTCCTGTGAGCTCTCTGGACTTGGACTAATTATCTGGAAATAGAAACATTGTATTAAATGATATTTGTGTGTTCTTCCTCATCTAACATTCTAGAACAGTGATTCTCAACACTAGGATCGCAACCCCTTTGGGGAGGTCAAACCACCCTTTTGTAGGGGTCATCTAAGACCATTGGAAAATACAGATATTTACATTACAATTCATAACAGTAGCAAAATTACAGTTATAAAGTAGCAATGAAATAATTTTATGGTTGGGGTCACCATAACATGAGGAACTGTTTTAAAGGGTCGTAGCATTAGGAAGGTTGAGAACCACTACTCTAGGATTAAGGGATCTAGGAGATTTGGATCTCTGGCATGATCTGTCATACTGTCATCCAACCTCATTCCTGGCTCCTCTTCTCATCTTCTCCACAGAAGTTAGGAACTATAAATATCTTCTTTACCAACTTTCTTTGCACCAGTGGTGGCCATGTGACATAGTCTCAGTCAATGAGACTAAAACTCTTACCGAGTTCTTCCAAAAAGAGCTCTCTAAGAATTCTAGGTAGGCGACTTTCCAGACGGTGGGGGCAGTCACAGCCGTTATTGCTTCGGTGGCCCTCAGAGGTCTAAGAGAGCTGCCTTCATGTGTGTGCCCCGTGTAAGCCCCTCCTCTTCACTTCCATGGGCAAGGAGATGATCACACTTGACTTGTCAATCAGAAGGGCCTGGCACAGCCAGGCAAGCTTCCTACAAGAAAGCCAGTTTCCTCTTGGCCTCTGAGAGAAATTCAGAAACCACTCTGCCAACAGGCCCCAAGTGGCTTCTGGAAACTGAGGGCCCTGGCTGAGGGATCATGCCAATAATTAGTGAACCCGAAAGAGGACCCCAAGGCTCTGGTGACACTGAGCTCATGCAGCCTGGTAATTTCCCAAGCAGAGGACTCAGTTAACCAGTGATGGACCCCTGATTTTAGAAACCATAATTGTCGTTTCTCAGGTGCTTTGGTTGTGGGAATTTGCTACCCAACAGGAACACGGGTACAGCTCCTTTCTGCTCAACCTGGACTGTCACGTGTTTCATAGCCCCCTGGAGCTCCTGAAGGCAAGACCGATGGATGTCAAAGCTCCAAGCCATGACTGTTTCCTCTGCTCAGCCAAGGCCAGCAACCACTATTCTCCAGCCTACCCGGATAAGCCAAGTCACTCAAGCAAGCTTTTCCTGTACTTGCCATTGAAACGATTTCCAACTGACCAAGCAGGCCTCCAAAAACAGAATAAGCAAGTTCTTCAAGAACAGAAAAATATTTCTAAGAAATATATGATATTTCAGATGGGGGGAAATATCTGCCAGAAAACAGTTAAAATACATTTTTGGCCTCTACAGGCTTTTCGTCTCTGGCCATGGAGAATGGGGAGTTGTGGAGGGTGGGGCAGAAAAAAATCAAGATAGAGTTCAAATGCAGAGCGGTTAGGCCAGGGTAGCGATTAGGGGCTCAGAGAAGGGACACCTCCTAACATAGCCTTTGAGAGAGAGAGAGAGAGAGAGAGAGAGAGAGAGAGAGAGAGAGAGAGAGAGCGCTGCATTGGGGATTTAGGTTGTGCAGCAGGAGGACAAGGAGGAGATAAACTACTTGGAATAAGTGAAGATGGGAATCTAGGGGCAGAGAGAAGTATTGTTGTGGCCGCGTCTCAAGACTCCCAAGCAAGATCACCACAGAGCTGATGTCCGATGCAAAACACACAGGGGTTTATTGATAGCAAGCAAGCCTGGGCTTGGTCCGTGTCCAACACTTAACACAGTCAGTGGAGGAGGATGGCCCTGAGCTCTCAGGGTGTGGGGTTTTTAACGGGGAAAAAAAAAACACAAGAAGGGTGGTACAAGCCTTGTTATCGTATGATTGGGTGAGGGTGTGTAACCTTTGAATTTACTGGTTGGGGGTTACAGTTATCATTTTTTGGGCAGGCCTGGACAAGTCCCAGGCTCTGTCCTTGAACTGCCATAGGGGTGGCTGGCCTAGCACCTTGACTCATGCATGTAGCTCTAAGTGGGTGAGGGATCCCAGACAGTAAACAATTGACTGAACCTTGAGCAGTCAGAGTACGTGCAGAAAGGGAGCCACTGCAAGGACTATCTATGTCTTTTGTTCATGGCCCTCCCAGAAACTGCTTGCTCAAGTCTCAGGAAACTGAAATTAAAGCCTGATCTCTGAGAGAGGACTGAGCAGCCTGTTATGGCATCTGCTTGGTCCTTTCAGTATCAATCAATCAAATCACGAACAGCCATAGAGCACTTGGTGTGAGGCCTGGGACTATGCTGGATGCTTTGGCAGGGCTGGAGTGGGATGATTATGGAACTTGCTGTCTGCCCCAGGTTTTTATGAGCATCCCGCTGTGGATGCTGCCTATACTCCCTCCCCATCAAGAGACAGAGTAAGCATTTGTTGTTGTCCACTAGGGAAAAAACCAAAGGCACGTCCCAGCCGCTGTCCGGCCTCACTCCCCAGGTTTCTGCCTTTAGCGGCTGTCTCAGATAAAACCACATCCAGAGAGCTGCTGGGCAGTGGGGAGAATCTAGGTCAAGGTCCTTCAAGAATGCACTACACACAACAGATCCAAGGAAAGAGAAATGGATTTGAGAAGGCAAGAGAGCCCTTCAGCCTCTGATATGGAATCTCTCGGAAGCCTTCAGGCTGGGTCCAAGTATACCGTCTCTCCTATCAGGGCCATTAGCACTCTCCTTTAAAAGAACAAGTATGCTGAGGTAATAAAATGTGAGTTCAGAGCTAGGATGGAGAGAAAACAGTATTGCAGAAAGTTGAGAGTGATGAGGTCAACCTGGCCTCCTCTGCAACACAGGTTTCGTCCTGTCTGAGGAACACAGAGAGCCTAGGGGCCAGGAAACCTTTGTCAGCAGCCAGGAGCCCTCTGCTCACCTCAGATGCTAAAAAGGCCTCTGTAGTCGCAGTGGGTACTGAGCTTGCCAAGGCCTGGGACTTGGACGTTTGTGTTCTTGGATTTTGAAAATGTCAGATTTCCTGAGATTTTATACACACAAAGTCACACCTTCTCCACGAGGGGTCTGGTGAAGTCTGACAGCTGTGCAGGAAGTGTGACCCTCCCTACCGTGAAGACACAGTACGTCTAGCTTCCCCAAACTTCTCTCCTTCCCCTTTGGTCTTATCCCCTATGGCTGCAGCTTTCATTTCTGTCCCCCCAGTTCTAGAACATCACATAAACAGGACATAATAGAACAAAGCCCCTTTGGCGTCTGGCTTTGGAGCTTCAGCACAGTGTGAGGCCAGTCTCTCAAGACTTTATTTTTAATCTTTGCTGACAAAGCCATCTTCCCTGCTAATCTAAGGCTAAGAGACAAACATCGATGTCCTTCCTAATCTTAACAAGCTCACTGAAGTGTGGCAGTAGTCCCCCAAATCAAACCTGGAGAGTAACAAGCAATTTCTTCAGGAATCTATTTTGATGGGTTCCCTCAGACAACTTGCACAGCATAAATAGTAATGGTAGTATTGATATACACGCAGTCATATACACGAATACTGTCCTATTGATTAGCATTGAGAAATACAAAATTCATTTGAATGAATAAAAGGTTATTTCTAGACCTATATGACTGCCTGAAGGGATATGAAAGCACAATTTAAAAGACAGTGCGTGGTGGGGTATATGCACACCATACTCACAGACTTGG